CGGCCAAGGCACATCCCTGCACTAGTGGCCGCAGCCGAGACGCCCGTGCTCCCGCAGCTGCTGCCGCCCAGCCCGGCACCGACGCCGCCCCCAGCCCCCCAGCCCCGCAGCCCCAGCCGCACCCAGCAGGGCAAGGACAGCTCCAGGAGGCAGCCCGAAGCGCGGCCACAAAGATCCCCAGCGACTCTCCTCGGACCGGTGCGTGGTTTGCTTTTGCTGGGGAAACGAGCTGCGGGGAGGGTTGCTCCAAGGCCCCGCAGTGCTCATTCTGCCCGCAGCTGCGGGGCGCCGAGGGCAGGGCGGGCGCCCAGTTTGGCGGCAGCCGCCCCGCCCGCGGTTCCTCGAAAGGCGACTGCCCTGCCCTCGCCAGCCTGGCCCCGGCCGGGGGCCTTGTGTGAGGGCGGCCCCTGGGCTGCTGGCACCTGCCTCTTTTGTCTGGTGCCACCGGGCTTTAAACCCAGAGTAGGGTGAGAACCCCCTCCCCCAGGGTCTTCGCTGCGTTGTTAGTGGAGACCGAGAGCAGGGCGAGGATCTCTGAGAGGTGCTTGTCATTGTCAGGACTGGCTGCGGAAGGAGGACCAAGTCTGTGCTTGGAAGGAGTGGCAGGGCCTGGCCTCTTATTGTGTGTGTTCTTTCCTGTGTGCCCGGGAGGGTGGTGTGTACTTGTCCATGGGGGCGATGGGTGCGTGGTGGTGGCTGCAGTGTGCATGTTGCAAGTACATTTGCAGGATCTCAAGTTCCTCTGGGGACAGCGAGGCTGAGGCTACCTCCTGTACAAATTAGTACCTGCAGTGCTAAAAGCATGCGGAGAGGAAATGGCATTTTCCTCCTAGTGGGAGCGCACGCACAGTCCCGCATTGCCCCACAAAAGAGACTGCTTTTGAAAAACCAGGTTTGCTCAGAATAGCCGCTGGATTCAGTAGCAAGCATCTGCTTGTCGGTGAGAGAGCAATGAAAGATTTCATTCAAACTGGCTTCCTCTCTGCCTTACCTGTGAATGTGTGTCCAGATTACGGTGCACATGCGTTCAGCCGCCACACTGCAGGGTGTTCGGCGAATACATGTCATATCTGTTCCTAAATATATCGCCTTTCAATGGGAAAGGAAAGTAGGGCAGCCTTTAAAGTACGAAATGTCACACCAATGCGGGTCAGAAGGGATTTTAAGCGAGGTCATATGTAGGAAAATCATGAAAGATATGTACACACCCTGTGCTATCCACATCCATGGTGGTGCACTGGCTCAGAACATGTGTGTTCCTTTTATTCCATGTGTGTTCCATCTACCTGAATCCTAATCCCATTGCTAAAAATATGCTTTGGAATTCCCAGGTTCAGCATCTATTTAGATGTGGTAGCCTTTATGCCTGATTCTTAATTGGTGTGTGTGTTTGTAAATTCTGAAACAGGAACCCATGTGCTCATCCAGAGAATGAACACAGATTCCTCAAAATGGTGAGAAATCCCACAAAGAACAATTGAGGATGTTGGTTTCCTAGCAAGGCAACATGTACAGGAAAATCTCTGACAAGAGTCTGTCTGCAACCTTCTCCAATTGGTGTCTGTGGTCTCTGTGGCCAAAGCACTGTGGTTTACCCTCCTGGTGTCATGCACATGGTTCCCTGGCCCTTGGCCACCAGTGGATGTGGACTATGAGTGGGGCTGTTGTGTTTCTAGTAGGCTTTTCATGGAGGAAGTGTGACCAACAGGAAGCGCCTCCAATCTTGTCTAGGAGCTTTTGGTTCACATGTATCACTACACCAAGTGGAAGCTGAGTCAGTGGAGGCTAGGGAAAGAGCACCTGTTTTGATACCTCACATAATTACCAGAACACGAGGGTATAAAGTGTGGTTGTTGACATTCTTTAAGTGGTAGCTATAGTGTTGACAATGATGTCACTTTGAGTGTGGTTTTGTTTGGTGGCAACATCATTGCCTACTTTGGATAGGCTCAGCAAAGGGAAGTAAAAGATGTGGTCTCTGTCCATCCCTGCATGGACACAAGATCCAATTTGAGGAAATATGCAAAAATCAAGTGAAATAAGCTTTTCTTTATTTTATTATTTGTTTATTGTTTCCAGATGGGGTCTGATTATGTTACTCAGTCTGGTCTTGAATTCTTGGGCTGAATGATCCCTCTGCCTCAGCTTCCCGAGAGCTGATACTACAGGTGCATGTCACTGCATCCATCTTAAACTTTTTCTGTTTTAGGTCAATCTTAAAAAACAAACAAAGATTTTTGTTTAGGAAGTTAGGAAGTTTTGCTGCTAAAAAAGCCTGTTTTCTCTAGGGAATTTAAACAATTGACAGTTGTGAATTGAGAAATGCCGCTTGGAACTGGATTTATACGTTTTTCTGATAATACAATTATCATCTTCTGCTACATCCCTGCTTGTCATTCCTGCTTGTTTTCTTTTAGTTTATATTAAAAAGAATTAGGGTTAGAGGAATGACCAGTGCCTTTAAAAAAGGAAATACAACACTTCAAAAGTCAACATGCCTTTATCACTCACAAAGTTTTGAAGAGCTTAGTGAGTTGGTATAAACACTAGTAATATCTTCCACCCGACCAGTCAAGACAGACACACCTTTTGTAAGATGGGAGAGCTCATTTAATACACACACACACACACACACACACACACACATTCTCACACATATATGGAGGGAGGGGAAGGTACAGTTACTGATATCATGGGCAAATACACAACCAATGCCTCCAGGATTGGATATTAATTGGTAGGTGTCTTAAAGTTCCTAACTTCAAAATCAATGATACCTGCTTATTGTGGGTGTAACTGTTTTCATAAAAATGAAAAATTAGTCTATGATTAGTTATTAAGAGGCATAAGGTAGTTTTCATATTTGGAAGGAGAGAATACACTAAACTCATATTCTCTCCATGTTTAAATCATGCTGTTTCTTGGTGGGGTCAGTGATATAAACTTGAATGTGTGAAGCATTAGAGACCTGGCAGCTACTGCTTCCTCTCTGTGCAGATGAGGTCTTGGTTGATTAGGTGGCATGCTAAAGGGACTGAGATAGTAAGGTGTGAGGGCTTTAAACACCTCTTTTGTACATGCCAGCTAAGGGCCAGGCTCAGAACCAACTTTGGGGTCAGGGTAAATTTAGGTTCAAATCCCAATCTCTCAGTTACAATGTTGGGACCCATTCCCACCCCATGCCCTTGAGAACATTAACTACCTTGTTAGATTCCTGTAAGGTTTAGAAAATATTTTTAGCATATTGTACAATTGATGGATGAATACTAGTGTCAGGTATATCTTAGACATTCCATAAATAATATTTTCTTTCACTTCATTCATATTAGGAGTATCACGTAGCCATGTTTTTAAGTGTGAAATTTTTTATCACAATTTTTAAATTAATTTTTAAACTGATATGTAAAATTTTTACCCATTCTGAATGAATCAGATGTCAGAAAGATCAAAAAGACTTAACAATACTTTTGGTAAGTTTTGACTCACCTTCAGAAAGCTGACATTGTCCATGTGGTAAAAATTGGGAGGTACTTGTAAAGGTCTTGCCTCAAATTTTCCATTTCCCTCATATTCTATTTTTCAGAGTGCTTGAAATTGTGTCATTCAAAATTTTGAATTTAAAAATTTTAAATTTTTGAATGCTGAAATTTTCCCACTTTCTAGATTGTCCTGTTAAAAAACGGATTCTCCTGCAAGAGGCAGCACCACTAGACTTTATCAATGAACCTCTTAGTGAGGATGAACTGATACCATAGGCAAATTGCTGATAGAAAGTGAAGCCCCATAGGAAGTGAAGTGGGGACCAGGGAGATGCAGGTGTTCTTTTCAGAAAATCATGAAATGAAGATCAGGAGTCACCAGCTGTCTCCCTTGCCAGAAGGGTAAGATTCTGCTCCTACTAGTTCTTTTTGTAGGCGGTCAGAAACAGAAACCATTCTATTAATTAAAAAAAAAAATACTACACACATGCCAGACACTATCCTAAATGTTTTATGTCCATTAACTTGTTTAGTAGTTAATATTAACAATGAGATAGGTACTATTCTCATTCCCATCTTGTGACTGAGGAAATTGAGGCTTCAATATGTCAGACAAGTAGCTTTCTCAAGGTTACACAGTTAAGTCAAGGTCAAGTATGAATCAACAGCTTGCAGCCTTGATTTCTTCAACCACAAAGATAGAGCCTTAAGTGGAGGGAAGGGCAAAACCTCTCAAATAATTATTATTTTTTTCCTTTTTTGATTTCCTCTTCCTGCCCCCCCCCCCCCTTTTTGTTTTAACCCAATTTATCTGAAGCAGTAAATGCAAGTAAATGATTTAAGGTGAATTCACTTCTTAAAATATGGAATACATGGCTATGTTGGAAAGTCTTCCTTAAGTTGGTAGAACCTAGGGACTGATTTAATTTGCTCTCCATCTGGCCATGGGAAACACATACAGTAAATAGAACTCTTTCAGTCCAACTGTTAAATGTTGCCTGCCCTCATTTTTTCCCCTGGCCCAATACTTGTTTTAGCTGTATGATAATAGGAAAGCTTATTTTCTACCTGCTACCAGGTAGCAGTGTGCTACCTGCACACTGGTCTGCAGAGAACCTTAAGCATTGGAGTCGGGCAGACCTAGGAAAGTTCCTTGTTCCAGCATTTCTCAACTGTGTTATTTGGAGAAATTTAGGAGAGAATTTTCTGTGCCTCAGTTTCTCTGCCTGTAAATAGGGACCATTCCAAGCCTGCTAGGTAGTAGGTAACTGATATCTCGGAGATGAACGAAACTGTAGTTGAGTAATAAGCTGTTTCCCCTGGAATTTGCCTCTTCCGTTTCTTTCTTGTCCTCCTCCTCTTTCTCTCCCACTCGATGATGGCTCAGATTCAGTACATATTATAACAATATTTCCACCCAGCTGCTCTCAAGAGGAACTCTTCAAACCATGATCTTAAATAACCTCAGGCTGTGTGTCTGTTTTTGTTTCTGGGGCTCACAGGTTCCACTTGCAGTCCATCATGTCCTTCGGCAGAGACATGGAGCTGGAGCACTTCGATGAGAGGGACAAGGCGCAGAGATACAGCAGAGGGTCGCGGGTGAACGGCCTGCCGAGCCCCACGCACAGCGCCCACTGCAGCTTCTACCGCACCCGCACGCTGCAGACCCTCAGCTCCGAGAAGAAGGCCAAGAAAGTTCGTTTCTATCGAAATGGAGATCGATATTTCAAAGGGATTGTGTATGCCATCTCCCCAGACCGCTTCCGATCTTTTGAGGCCCTCCTGGCTGATTTGACCCGAACTCTGTCGGATAACGTGAATTTGCCCCAGGGAGTTAGAACAATCTACACCATTGATGGGCTCAAGAAGATTTCCAGCCTGGACCAACTAGTGGAAGGTGAGCACTAAGAAATAAACCCTCAGGGACCCTATGGGTTCCATGCTCAGGTTTCCTTGTGCTAGCCTTACTGACCTCTGAGAGGTCACATTATAGTTAGAGGGAGCCTTAGGTTAAGATCCTTATTGTTTTGCGTTCCAGTTTGCAGCGTGGTATACAAAGAAAAATAATAACCACAGTGGTATTACAATCAGGTACCCCCGATCATAAGCCAAGGGAAAAGCGTCCAGTTGTACAACATTCTCTGTTTCCTTTGTCACACACGTATAACATTAATTTTAAAAGTTCATTTTCATATCTTCAATTGCATAGTTCATCTTCATTTCTAGATGCAGATTGAAATTTTGCTATCACAATGTCTGAAAGTACTTGAATGAAAGATGACAAATGGATCATCAAATTTTAGAGTTGAAAGGAGCTTAGTTATCAAACCCGTTAATTTTATCATTGGAGATTGGGGACCAAAAAATCCAAAAGATGTGTTTGTGGTTGTAAGCTTGTGGTGACTGCTGGACCAAAAATGATGTTTTCTGACAACTCTTTCCACTGTGATCCTTCATTTTAAGTTGAAAGGCTTATTGTCTTTCTACAGTATTTGAGAATATGAAGGAATTGATCTGCTCAGATTATTTTTAAGTCCAATTTATATTAACAGTAATTATCTGTTTTAGACATTAAATGTGAGAGTAGGACTGTTTGGGTTCATAGATGAGACCTCATAGCTTGTGGGAGAAGAATAGATTGTTCACTCTGGGATATGCATGCTTTAACATCAACTCTGTTTGGATAAGGCATAAAGCCTTTCATTGCCTTAGAACTCATGGTCAAAATAATTTGAGGAGAATAAAACAGGATTAAATGTATGCTGAGGTGTAAGTAAAGATAGTAGATTCCCTTTGGAGAGCAGGTTTTTCTGAGATTGAAGACTTAAGCCTTTGATGAAGCAGATAGCACAAAGAAACCTCAGAAAGGAAGGTAGGACTGTTAGAAGAGGTTGATGTTATCTTAGTTTATCTTTACTCCAGCCATATTTTCTCAGGTCCTCTTGTCCAACTGAGTCGAAGAGGGATGCTACACAACCCCTTGCCTTCTTAAGCAGGTAGCAGGAAGCATCCCTGTCAGCTGCCTTGGAGTTGGGGTTGCTGCCCCTGGGTGTGTACTGGCAGACCCTCTTGTCCTCCTTTGTAGCTAGAGTTGGTTTGTCAATCAAAGCTGAGGTCCTTTCCCTTTTCCTTGTCTTGATCTCTTGGGAGCAATGCCATTCTGGTCACAGTCTGACTGGACTTGAGTGGGTGTGGAGGAACCTGGGCTTGGTGTGTTTATTTTGTGGGAATTCACATCTCTTCAGTGACTTGTCACCCTGCCAAGATGCCTGTAGACTTGGCTTTCTTCCTTCTATTCAGAGGCTGGAACTTCCAGTAAATTAAAGGGGAAGAATGAACATGAAGTCTTTCTGAGCTGACTTAGATTTTGTGTGTGTGTGCTCTGTCCTTTGCATGACCTTGGAAAATACAAGGATAAATGAAACATTTGGTGGTATATTCCAAGCGATCTGGACAAAGATCAGATGCAAAGTCAGGTACATGATCAGTCAACCAAGCCATCCCTTTGAGGGCTGATGATATTATAGGGAGAATATGCCAAGATCTCAAAGCACATCCTAAGATAGCTGGAGGATTGATCCCTCATTGTGTTCTAGAATCACTTGTATAGCATTTTAGAGGCCAGGGACACTTCAGTTTCTCACCCAGAATTGGTCTTTACTGCGAAGTGGCCAGAGATATTCCTGTGGCTTCCATCTTCCAATGAAAGAGTATCTGAAGTGGCCAATGACAGTATTTTCTTCACGTTTGGGGACCAACAAAATCATGGCATGCTGGCCACCATCTTTTTTGTCTCTGTTTTTTACCACAATATATTTGCTCTGAAATATTGCTGTCTTGACTGAAGATGATAATGGTTCACTGTTACTGAGCATGTGCAGGGCAATGGTTGGAGTTACATGTATGGGAATACATGTACTTCTCATAATGATCCTATGAGGTATATGCTCTTGACGTCTATGTAATATGTTATGTAGGTTCAGTACTCTGCTCAAACAGCAAAAAATGGTAGGGTTAGGATTTGAACACAGGAATGCTGATGCCAGAGCTGGGTCTTAAATACTAAAATACTGTGTGCTGTGAAATCAACTCCTATGAAGGGTGCTGTTGTGTTCACTTCAATACAGTGGATTATTTTTTGGTATAGTGGAATGGAAGACAATTAGTGGAAAGTTAACTGTAAACCCTAAATTGTTCCCATTGACTTTAGTGGTATTTCAGTGAAATATTTTTGTGTGAACTACTTCTCGAAAACAAATGTTTTACTCTTGACTTAATTCCAGAAATGAAGGATGCTTCCTTCTCTCAGAAACATTTTAATCTTTTTCTTTGTCCCCCACCCACAACCAAACCTTTTCCCACAATCAGTATGAAGTAACTGCAGATGGAATTTTCTGATGTTTAAAAATTATTTTAAAAATTACTTTTTTTTTCTGACTGAGTGAATGGGAACTTCAGTACAGGGTGTGAGCTCACATATTGGCTGTGTTTATTTTTTGAATTTTTAGTTTAAACAGATTTTTTTTCTAATTCATACCACTGACAATTAACATGCAGCTGCACTTAGTGTTTAAATAGCTAGAAATTCATTTAGATTTGCTTCTTTGTCAATTAAATTTTGCTTAGTCTGTTAAAATCCAAACCGTTGCTTCATATTCATCATTAGGGCCATATATCTCACTTTACATACTAATTTTATGTAAACGTCAATGCATGTTATTAGCTTTTCATTTCCCCTTCCAACATGATGATGTTTGAGTTTTAAATTAAATCCTTTTAGTGGGTGCAGTGACAACTGTATTTGGCTTGTAATTGTCTTTTTTTTTTCTTAATTTGTTCTTTCTCACTTGATCTCAGGCTCAAAATTCTGAGTTACAATGACATATGTGAGTTTCCTTATTTATAACAGTCTTATGGTCACTTTCACTGTTTTATTATTATACACTGATTATTATGCATAAGTGTGGTTTAAGCACATTGAGAGAGCTGACTCTGAGGCCAAATTATATAATTAGTGAGTGTGCATATGTGTGTGTGTGTGTGCATGAATGGTTTTATGTGTTTACAAGTGCATAAATGTGTGCACATACTTAAGTGTATACCAAAGATGACATTCTTAATTGTTTGCTTTCAAAATGGACTTAATATATTAAAAAAAAGAAAAACATGGTGCTTAATGAGGAAAGTTGAACTGCAGGCCTATTTCTGCAAGTGATTCACCTTGAGACTTGGCCTCATTTCCCCAACTTTGTACCATTTATTTTCTACTCTACATATCTACGTGTTGTGGATAAAGGAGGGCATAACACTGAAACCCTTTGAACTCTTAGGAGAAAGATGTAATGTAAATCCTGAGTGTTGCTTGATCGACCGATTTTTCCTTCTTTTATCATCTTATGTGAATGTAGGTGTGAGAGGGCCAGAGCATTTCCTTATAAGGATGAAAACTATACACATATGTCATCTTCTGGATATAAATAAGTTAGTTTATTCATCAGATCTGCAGTATTATAAGTGAGTCAAGTGCCTCTTCTTCCTAGTTTTCACACATTCATTGGCTCCTCACAAGCCTTCCATAGGCATTGCCTGACACTAGCTGTGGCCCAAAGGTACTGTCCGAATCCCCAGCAGAATTCATTTCTTAGGAATAAATTAACACCTCCCCCCAGAGTTAGGGAATCTCTCTCTTACCGTGGCTTCTGGGTTGCCTGTATTTTGGGGCAATTTTCTTAAGAAAATTCCCTTATTTCTCTACTTTATCTCACTACTGGTTTCCTTCAGACCTTCCCCTACTGTATTAACATTTTTGAAATTAATTTTTGCATTGCTATAAAGCACAAGCTCCCTAAAATTCCCCAGAGGCAACCAATTTGCTAGTTGTTTCTAAAAATTTTTTATTACCCTCTCATGCATACCAGTGCATGTCCACAAGATAATTTGCTGTACTCACAGTTCTGCACCTTGTTCTGTGTGCTTGAGGTTTTAATCTTGGAGACTTTTCATATCAGTACATCTATAACTACTGGGTTCTTTTTACTGATTCCATAATACTCCTTTATGAAATGTGCCATATTTATTTAATCAGTCTTTCATTCATGGGCTTTTAGGATGTGTCCAACCCTTTATTATTACAAATAATTTTGCAATGCATATCGTTGGATATATGTTTTCCAATCATGTAGGTGAATAGCTTTAGGATACATTACTAGAAGTAGTATTGTTGAATAGAGAGATACAAGCATTAAACTTTTAAAACCTATTGCAAAACTCTTCTCAATCGGAGGTAATTCCAGATTGCACTCTGATCAGTATTATATGGCAGTGGCTGTTTCTCTGCCTTCAACAAGATGATGTGCTATCAATAGCTTGGCTATTTGTCAACCTATTAAGAAAAGAAAAAAATTGATTTCATTATAGCTTTTTTTAAAAAATATTTTTTAGTTGTTGGTGGACCTTTATTTTATTTCTTTGTACGCGGTGCTCAGAATCGAACCCAGTGCATCATACATTAGGCAAGCACTCTTCCACTGAGCTCTCATTATAGTTTTAATTTTCATCTCTTTATGTGTTTAAAAGGCATTATTTTTTTTAAGTTATAGATGGACACAATACCTTTATTTTATTTATTATTTTTATGCAGTGCTGAGGATCCAACCCAGTGCTTCACATGTGCTAGGCAAGTGCTCTACCTCTGAGCTCCAACCCCAGCCCCTGTATTTCTTTTTATAAGTATTGTTTCCCCATAGCTGTTTATTATTTTCCTACTAGATTGGTATCTTTTTTCTTGACTTGTAGGATTTTTTAAAAAAGATTAAAGCCCTTTATTATGATAATTAAAAATAGTTTTACCAAATTGCCCTTAATGACTCTTGTGTTTTTTGCCATTTAGATTTTCAG